TTGAACCAATTTTGATAAGCAATATCAGAGGTGGGGCAAGATCGAAATGGCTTAAAATTACTTTTTACATAATCCAATACAAAGGGGTCCTTAGGAGGAACAGTTGGGTTTTCTATGGTATTTGAACTAGAAGATTCTACTGCCTTAGGGGCGTCCATTTTGTTAAATAAGGGTTTAAAACTATAACAAACTGGGAAAATCGTCCTGGTGTCTTTTAATATTTCAAAAACCGTAAGAGGGCCATTTAAAGCTAACCTCTTACCAGCAACGTTGGTAGGAATGAGTACCTGTGACGCATACAACATTTCTTTTTCCTTTGAAATCATCTGATGGGCAAGAACGGATTGACCTTGGTGAGTGATGATTTTACTTTCCATGGTAGTTCCTGCAGTTTTTCCTTTCTTCTTGGATACTTTCTTGAGTTGGGATGAAGTAGAAGAAGACATTTTTGAAAGATGTTGAAAGCTTGGGTTTTTGACGAGAGAATGAGGGTAAAAGATTTAGAGTGTGAAAAGAAAAGAAAAAGATTAAGTTGGTGATGTTTTATAATGGGGAAGTTTAAGCATCCACTGAATAAGGGTGTGATACGTGGAAATCATGGGTTCGTGTGATGAAGAGGTGGCGTAAAGTTAACATGGGTAATAGGCGTGATTTAAAGATAATCATTATTTGTAACTGCACCATGCTGTGAAGCGGCTCCAGGCGGTTAAGGAATCCAAAAGGTGCTATGATTGACGTGACTGGAGTCAAATGCATTAAATGTTACGATGATTCGAAAGTCACATCAAAATCTTGTGTAGATGTTTAAAATAGGTATTTCTCAGAGGAATCGAAATACATATTTTAAAGGGGCAATTTGTTGGCTGAAGATTTTGATAAAGTTATTAGAAGCCAATTGAATTAAACGTTTCGACCGAAATGAGGTAAAGCGTCATGTTTCGAAGTAGTAGAAGCAGTGTTTCGAATAAGCATGTCAAAGCTTGGAGCTTCGAGTGGAAATTATGGGAACATATCTAAAGAAGTCTCGAAATAACAACAAGGCTGTGTCTGGGAAGAGCGTTCGAAACGGAGAAGTACCAAAGCATTTGAAATTCAAATAGAAGCGGGACATTCGAAGTTTGAAAGTTATATGCTGGAGCATTTGGGGACACGTGGAAAGAAGAAAGAGGCATTGTTTTGCATGTTCTGAACGTGGCATAATCCTATAGCAAGACCGTTATGGTCGAATTAGTATAAATAGAAGTCTTAGTATTAGGATTTCGTGTGTCATATCTATTGTGCTAAATACTCAGTAACATTCAAACTACCACATGGCAAGGGAAACGAATGCAAGAGAAATGTACGTATGATAGCACCATGTATTTCTGATTTAATGAAAACCTTTTATCATGTCCAGCACTCTCCTTTATCTTTTTGTCAAATAACATTTACAAGTTTTCTCATTTACAGCCTTTTTACTTCGAAATCTCTTCTTCAAAGTTTTACATTTTAATGCTTTCTTCACATTTCAAGCAATTTACATCTTAGAAAACTGTCATATTTTCCATACCTTTACCTTCAAGTCTTATCCTTCGAACGCATATTTTTACTTAAAGTCATTTACAGATTTCTTGCATTAAACGCTTTCTTCATATTTTAAACCTTTTACGTTCCAGAAATCCTTTACATTAACTGTTTTATAATTCGAAACCATTTACTTGACTTTTATGCAATTTTACATGTCTTTACAATTAACATTTATTCATGCAACTTAGTTTCACACACACATTTTGATTACATCTTTAGACTTTTAGAGAGAGAAATCGAAATAAGCCAAACGCATATACAACACTCAAATATCAACCATGAATATCTGTTCGATCGTGAGAGTAACCTTAATGTCCAAGGAATCCTAGGATCAATCTAGTCGATCCTGTGAGTTACCAGAGGAATTGAATAACAGTCAGAAAGATTATTCGATAGTTTGGAATACTAGCGGTTGTTTACCAGAAATCACTGGAAACAAGTATCCAGATAGGACCAAGGATGAATTAGAAGAGAAGCGTAAACCATGAAAAATTGTACCTTTAACATAGCGAATGATACGTAGAACTGCAGACAAATGAGATGATCGAGGGGCAGCCATAAATTTACTGACTTTACGAATAGCATATGCAATATCAGGGCGAGTGACAGTTAGGTAAACAAGACTACCAACAAGTTATCGATACAAGGTGGCGTCTTCAAGAGGTGTGCCGTCAAGTGGTGTGAGTTTGGAGTTGACTTCCAATGGTGTCAATTCAGTCTTGCAGTCTGTGATGCCTGCTCGAGAAAGCAGATCAGAAGCATACTTGGCCTGGGAAAGATAATAGCCTTCTGAGTCTTGGGAAACTTCAAGCCCCAAAGAATAACTAAGGGAACCAAGGTCTTTCATTTCGAAATGTTGATTGAGATATTGTTGTAAAGCTGAGATGTCAGTCTTGTCATCTCCGATTATGATCATATCATCTACATAAAGAAGAAGAATTACAATACCACTATCACTTCGTCGAGTGAATATAGCAGAATCATGTGGACTAGAGAGAAAACCAAATTGTGTTAGAGTAGAACTGAACTTGGCAAACCAGGCTCTAGGAGCTTGTTTCAACCCATATAAGGCTTTTTGAAGTTTACAGACCTTATGAGGAGAATGATATCCTGGAGGAGGGTGCATATATACTTCCTCTGTCAATTCACCATGAAGGAAGGCATTTTTGACATCCATCTGAAAAAGCTTCCATTTACGAACTGCAACAATGGCCAAGAGGCTACGAACAGATGTTATTCGAGCTACCGGAGCAAATGTCTCTTCATAGTCTATACCATACTCTTGAGTGTACCCTTTGGCTACTAGGCGAGCTTTATAATGTTCTACAGTTCCATCAGAGTGAGTTTTAATTTTGTAGATCCATTTGCATCCAATAGGAATCTTTTCTGCAGGAAGATCAACTAATTCCCAAGTATTTGTCTTTTCTAAAGCTTGAATTTCTTCAGCCATAGCTTGCTGCCAAATGGGGTTAGTACTTGCCTCTCGATAAGAACAAGGCTCATGAAGAGTTTTAATAGTAGAGTAGAAATGGTAATCATTAAGATGAGTAGGTGGATTACTTACTCTGGTGGAATGGCGAGATGCAGGTACAATATCAACATCCGGAACAGGTTCAGTAGGAGCAGGTGGGGGCGGACGAGTATTGAGCTTAACATCTGGAACAAGTTCATTTGAAGAAGGTGAGGGAAGAGGAGTATTGAGGTTATTAGAGTTATCTGCATTAGAACTTGGAAACAACTCAACTGTGGGATCAGTGAAATAAAATGAGTCGGTGTCAAGAGAATGATGAAATGTAGAAAGAGAGGAGAACATGGTGTTTTCCCAAAAGGTAACATGACGTGAGATGCGTAATCTGTTATAGATTGGATCCCAACTGTGATATCCTTTGTGTTTTGTGCCATAGCCAAGAAAGCAATACAAGCGAGCACGTGGTTGTAATTTTGTGTACTCATGAGGCTGCAAGAGAACAAAACAAGCACATCCAAAAGGTTTAAGAATGGAATATTCAGGAGACTTACCAAATAGTTTTTCAAAAGGAGATAAGTTTTGAAGATTTATGGTGGGAAGTAGATTAATTGTATAGACAACATTAAGAGTTGCTTCCCCCCAAAACTTCTCTGAACACAAGGATGAGAGGAGAAGAGCACGAACTGAGTCAAGGATGTGACGGTGTTTTTGTTCAGCCCGACCATTTTGTTGGGAGGTGTGAGGGCATGAACGTTGAACCATGGTGCCTTGCTGACTGAGAAACTGAAGCAAGGAAGATTCACGGTATTCCATCGCATTGTCTGTGCGAAGAATCTTAATAGCACAAGAAAATTGTGTTTTAACCATACGAGCAAAGGAAATATAAATTTGAGGTAATTCAGAGTAATTTTTCAAAAAATATATCCATGTAAAACGAGAAAAATCGTCAATAAACAATACAAAATAACGATGACCATTTATTGAAGAAACAGGAGAAGGCCCCCAAATATCCCAATGAATCAAATCAAAAGGACTATTTGAACTAGAAAAACTACGATTGAATGATAATGCAGGCTGTTTGGCAAGTTTACAATGTAAACAATCAAAAGGCTCAACCTTTGTGGATCCTAATAACCCACGAGATATTAGAGGTTGAATTTTGCTTGCTGAGGCGTGACCAAGACGAAGATGCCATTGATGAATTGGAGAATTTATAGTAGCAGCAGAAATATGATCTTTAGGAAGGTGAAGAGATTGTAGCTCAAATAGCCGACCCACCCTGCGACTCGTCCCAATGATCTGCTTCGTTTGCGGATCATGTACCTGAACATCAGAGGGAGAAAAATAAACATTCAGTCCTTGTTCACACAATTGACCAATGGAAATAAGATTAAGTTTCAAGTTAGGAATGTAATATGTGTCAGGAAGGGTGAGATTTAAGGTAGATACATGACCGGTATGAGTGATGTTCATTGTATTGCCACTGGCTGTGTGGATTCGTGGCAGAGATGAAACAAATGTCGTAGCAGGTAATGATTTAATATCAGTGGTCATATGATTACTACATGCAGAATCAAAAAAATAACGAGAATTACCGTGAGTAGCGGACATAGTAGTAGAGTTGTTGGAAGACATAACCTGTTTGATTAAAGCTTCAATATCACTCATAGTGATGGTCGTCGAACCTTCAGTGGCAGCAGCAGAGATGGAGGAAGATCCAGACGTTTGAACATTATTGGATTTGGTGAAGCCACGATTTTGTTTTGGAGGTCGCGTGGGACAATGTTCAAGAATGTGACCAATACCGTGGCAGTACCTACACTCTATAGTAGGACAGTTAGAAAATATATGACCAGTGCGATTGCAATTCTTACATGGATGATGATTCGATTTTTGATGTGAGAATCGAGTAGTTGTAAGAGCAGCATCCATTTGAGAAGTTTTGTCTAGATTCAGACGCGTTTCTTCAAAAAATGATTTCTTGAATAGCAGTGTCCAATGATGGAAGCGGATTTCGATGCAGCAGTGAGGCTCGTACGGCTTCATATTCGGGCCGAAGAGCCATAAGGACTTGAGTGAGATGAAGGTGGTCTTCACTGATTTTGGCAAGCGATATTTGATGCCAAATTGGTTGGACTTGAGCGAGAAAATCATTCACTGATTGACCAGGTTCTTGCTTGGTATTGTGAAGTGTGGTCCATAACTGATAATAATGTGCAAGGCCAGTGGTTTGATAGCGGTTTTTCAAGAAATCCCAAATTTCTTTTGCAAAATCGTAGTTATGAAACTGAATGTGAATAGACGGTAGAGACGTGTTGCGCAGCCACGTGATGATCTGGTGATTTTTACTATCCTAATATTCAAGGCGGTCCGCAAATTTTGCAGCAGATTCATCTTTGTCTTGAGTTGGCTTGACGACATCTCCGGTGACTATGCGCCAAAGCTTGCGTCTGATCAGAAAACTCTTCATTCCTTGGACCCATAGATTGTAGTTTGGTCCGGTCAAGGTGGTTATAATGGATTTAAAAATATCAGTTTTCTCCATAATGCAGAGATGAGCAAATGAACAGGATAATGGAGAACTGAAGATGTTGCAGAAAACAGAGAAAAAAATGGGGATCTATGACCTATGCTTTGATACCATATTAGCAGAATAGTAGAAAGTGGAATTGGAAAATTTTGTATTCCATATTTCGTGTCTTTACAAAGATACAATTATTGAGTTATATACAATTCAACATTAGCTTATTTAGGTATGTAAATCTCCTATAATAACACTGTAATAATTCTATAATAAAACTGAAATCTCCTATAATTAATCTATATCAAAAATGTCTCTATAATTTCTCTTAACAATTTTAATGGACATTTACAAAAATTACTTAGAATGAATAAGATGAAAATAGGCAAGATGAATTTGAATATGAGCATAAATAATTATTTATGAAAATAAGTGGACATGAATACGGATATAAATTATTTAATATTCATTTTTTTATTTATTATATATATATGTTAATTTATTAATTTTATTAAATATATTATTATTAAATTTCTACACATTTTAATATACATATTTGTTTATTTCTTAATTCAATAATATCACTTTATTTTTTTAAATATTATTAAAAATTAAAAATAATATAATAAATTATAATTGATGTGATATTTTTATTAAAAATAAAGATAAAAGAATACATATATAAATATTTAAATAACTATATAAGACGGGTACAAATGTTACCATCGTAGAAATTTTTCAAAACTGTGATTATAAAGACGGATACTATAATATCATGCTTAAACTCTATTTATTATTATCTTTACTCTAAGCAGAAATCAACATGTGATTAGGGTGGGTCCCTGCTTCTTTGACGCGTGTAAACGACAAATTTCTTGTGTCATCAATTTCTTGTGGGTTGCCTTCAACTAAATTGGGCCTTCAATTTGATTGGGTACAAACATTATTAAAATTGTCAACTGCATTTTTACTCCATCTAATAGTTAAATCAAAGTAGAATAGGAAAATACAAATTTCAAAGTGATAAGTTTCTAGAGTTTAGTGGCAAAGTTTGACTAAAAGACTATTATTTAGAAAGCAAAGAAAGTAATTAAAGATTATATGTGTATTGTGAGTGTACGATAATAGGAAGACTATGATTAAAAGTAGGTTTCAGATTTGGAGATATTTTTGAAAATTTATTTTCGAAATAAATTAAGACGTGAAAGTGAGATATAATTAAAAAATTAATGAATTGTATGTGTATGAAGTGCTTCTAAAAATGTATTCTTTAAAATTGAAAATATTTTCGAATGTTAGGCTGGTTTCTCGAAGATTAGATCTGTGTATCATTCCATCTTCTCTTAAGTCTCTAAAATAAGTTTTTAAAAATTGAAATAAGGAAGTGTTTGGTAATCTAGAGTTCCGTATTTCTACCCTAAGAGATGAGATTATATCAGTGGATTTAAAATTGGCACATGGGGTTTCTTTCATGATGAGGTTGTGTTTAGTACTAGGGCTATTGTGATCTTTGTTCTATTTTTAGGATTAAAGATTACCACTTGTTCCAAAGATCTAAAACCAAGTGGGTGAGAGAAATGGATGCCAACACAGGTTTTTTCCACGTTGCATTTAAAGTAGGAAAAAGGGGGATTCTATTTTCGTTTCTTCATGTTGGTGACACTTGGTTGCATCGTATGGCATAGATTAGTCCAGCGGATATGAATAAATATTCCTATCACTTTCATCAACCTCTTACTCATCTCCCTCATCTAGATAAGGTTATCTTTAAAACTATTTACTTGGAAGATATGGCATCTCTTTCTTCTCGTTTTTCTCTCACAAGGATCAATATAGAAGTCTCCTTCTGTAATGGGAATCAAATTTTTGGTCAAGATGGTTTTAATCTTTCTTTTTTGTGGAGGTTATGTTATATGTTTAGGAAGGACTTAGGTTTTATGTTTGAGGAATTACATGTTATGGTTTTTCTCCTTCTTAGCTTATCCTTTTATTTTGTCACAATAATCCCTAAGGTTGAGCCCCCACCCCCCACTTAGAGGACTTCCATTGTATCTATCTATCGGGTCCTTTTATATGCTTATAGCAAAGGTTTTAGCCGGAAAATTGTTCACGGTTAATCAATTCTCTTTTCTCAAAGATAGATTCTTGGTTAATGGAATGGTTATGGTGAATGAGGTGGTATATTTTACTAAAAAAATAATAAAGATTACCTTATCTTCAACATGGATTTTGAAAAGGCTTATGATTTGGTGAGCTAGAGCTTTCTTGAATATATGCTTGAGATATTTGGGTGTGGATATTTGGGTTTCACAATAAATAATGGGCTTGGATGCGCGTTTGCATGTTCTTTAGGAATTTTTCCATATTTGTCAATGTACGACTTAAGAAATTAGTATTCAAGGGATATGAAGATATGAGATCCTTTAGCACTTCTATTTTCTTTTATATGGTGAAAAGGTTTAGTGTTTGGTTATTCAGAGTGTGGATTTGAATTTATTGTATAGTTTTAGGTTGAGTCCTTTGTACTTGGTTGTCTCGCATCTCTAGTATGTTGATGATACCCAAATGTTGACAGAAACTTCTTTATATAATTCTTTGGCCATTAAATCTATTCTCAAGGTGTTTAGGATAACCTTCGATCTTCGTGTTATTTTTTCTAAGAATAGTCTTATTAGGGTTAATCAAGTTCCAATTTTTCTAGATGTAGTTAGTGATTTTCTTCATTGTAGCTTTCAGAACCCCCCCCCCCCCCCTTTCAATTATCTGAGTCTTTTGGTGGGAGTTAATCCCAATCTTTAGACCATGTGGGAGTTGTTAATCACTTTCATTATTGATCATCTACTCTCCTTGAGCCATAGGTATGTTAGTTTAAAGGGTAGAGTGATTCTTCTTAATTCGAATATCAATGATATCCCCATGTTCTTCCTTTCTTTTTTGAAAATGTGCGTTAAGGTGTGGAATAGAATTGTCATGGTCTAAAGAAGATTCTTGTGGGGCGTGACCAAAGGTGGTGCAAATATTCCTTAGATTAAATCATCTGATGACTGCAAACATATGCATAGTGGATTCCTTTGAGTCTGTGACCTTCACATGGTTAAAGTTTGATAGTTAAGTAGTGTTGAAGCTTGATTTGATATTGTTGTACCCCAAAATTTGCCCTCCCATATTTCTCAAGACATGTCAAGAATAATCTCCAAGTGACTCAAGTTAGCTCAAGAGAGTGGACAGTCAAATCACCTCCTAAGGCAGTCAATTCAAAATTAGGGTTTTGTGTTGCATCAAGGTCCTTACATACAAATGGCCTCAAATTCTCCCCAATGTCCTAATATGTTCTCAAGTTCATCCATGTCAAGTTTCAAGCCTTGCAGAGAAAGTTTGGTCAGTCAATTACTCAAGAGGTCCAAAAATCGACTTTGCTAGGGCTAAAGTCAACTGTGACCTACAAATACTCAAACCTCAAGATTTTTGTCAAACTTATCATTTTGAAGGATAATTCATCATTTTATCAAGGGTTGACCATGATTCATCAAGGATTGCTCAAGATTCATCAAGATTCAAAAGTTGCTAAATTAGGGTTTTGTAGGAAAAGTCAACTCAACTTTGACCAAGCATAACTTTCTCATACTTTATGAGAAATGACCCATCAAAATCTCATTTTGAAGAGGATGCAATTTTCTACAATCCATCTTCACACCCCAAGATCAATAAATGCACTCACAAGAAATTACAAATTTGGACATTATAGGTCATTTTTGAAAGTCAACAAAAACACCTTTTTTGCCAAAGCTTATAACTTGATCATGGAATATCAAAATGATATTATACCGAAAGGGTTGGTTAGAGGAAATCTCAAGGTTTCTAAAAAGTCCAAAAACACTTCCAAAAGTTCAAAATTGAAGAAGTTATGCATTGTTGAAGTTGGGCATTTTTCTAAAAAGTACAAAAAGTCAACTATCCTCAAAACTCCAATTTTTGACAAAAGGGCCCACTTTTTCCACTTGATTTGATTTTGTCACACCACACACGTGTCTTATCTTCAATTTCATGGCCATTCATTTATTTTTCTATTTTATTTGATTTTTATTGAATTAATTCATTTTAAATCAATATTAATCCAAATAAAATCCAAAAATTGATGGAATAAGATCTTTTTGATTGATACAACTTGAAATTATCATGATACTCCCAACCAAATTCGTACCATGCCATATTGTGAACAAAATCTTGGATTTGGCATAATTTTGGAAGCTTTGTTAATGGAGATCAAATCATATCTTAAATCTTCAATGCACATGGATTCAAGCCCAAAAATTTAACCTAATGCAATCCCTTATACATGTACAAGCTAGACATATCAAGAAAACGACCTAAAAGCTGCAGAAACTCAGAAACCAAAACTGAAAAAAGCTTGGAAAAAGTGGAGATCGAAATCTTGTTTAGAGGCAAATCCAAGGCAAAAGCTCAACACTATCTTCTAGCCTGATACCCACTGAAGCGATTGTAACCATTCACACGCTCTGAAGCCACTTGAATCGCGATGTAAATCATCCTTAACATAGCCCTGTGCACGAATTCACAACCTTGGATTCTTGCGTCTTTTTGCCAAAATATTGATATATTCTTGATCCTTGCATAATTTCCAACCTTTCTGCAATATTTAATTTCGTTCTTGTAACCTGTATAGCCATGCCCGAAGCTAGGGTTTTGTTTCTTTGTTTTTAGGCATTTTTTATACAGGCAAAATCAAGACAAACGGTGGCCATGGCTGTGTTCAGGGAGGAGATACGAACCTGATGGTGGTTTTAGGTTGTGTTTACATGGCCTGGAAATTGTTTTAGGATGTTCCCACGGATCTTGCTGCGGATAAAAATCCGCAGGTAAGAAAACCAGTCTTTTGGTGAAGAAGACGACTAGGTGTCTTCCTCTGATTGGCCAACTTTGAATATTCGCGCTTGTTTTTATTTATTTTAGGCATAATGCTTTGTTTTGAATATAATAATTGTCACATATCCTAATAACAAACA